AAATCGCTCCCTCTAGTTCAAAATATCAGATAAACTTTGTTGAAGAGGTTTGGTTTTTTTTTTTTTTAAATAAGATAACATTCACTTTTGCCTAAACATTTAATGACTTTTTTCTAATTCTGCTCCTCATATATTTCATTTTCTCTTTGATTCATTTCTTGTATCTTTTACCTATTCTCTTCATTAATAAGGGCATATTTGGAAAAAAAATACATATCTTACATATTTATTGTTTTAAACTGATTTTAACTAATTTTTTTATAAGCATAAATGAATAAAGTCTATCTTATATTTTGAACAGGAGGGAGGGAGTACTTAACAAATTGGCATGTTATTTTCCTCAAACACAGAAAATTTTTCTATCCCTCAAATACAGTAGTTAATGAAAAAGGTAGCTTAAAGGTGGGGCTTGGAGACTGGAGAGACATTCCCAATGCATTAGAGACAAAGCCAGAGATTAAATAACAAGTATAATAATGACAAACACTGAAGAACACATGCTAGGTCCATGGATTTAATGATACCAGCTTCCATATGCCATTAGCAAGGGCACGTGAGCAGCTGGGGCTTCCCATCCTCTCACTCTCTCACTCTACTCGGTGCTCTATGTTTGTGTTCCATTACAAAAACACTACTCTGATCTCACAGCCATTCATTTGGAAGCAGATGCCTTAAATTAAACAGAGGAATCCGACCAAATACTAAGCTGCATTCTTGCTCTGTCTTATTTCCATACTGGTCCACACAGACCCAACAGACACATAAAACCGTGTCCTCAACCTACTCCTGAAATATCATTTGTATTACGTTTCTTGTCGGGTGAAAGGGAATTCAGCCCAAGGGTTATTTATTCTAATGGATCATCTTCTCAAGAATAATACTGGTAAACAAAAAAATCCCAAAATGCAATCAAATTTGGATAACAGATCGTTTTCAAAGCTAATCTTTGATTCAGAACAAGTAGAAGGGTACGCAGTCCATTGTGCGGATCATTTGTAGTACTAAAAGATGACTGAATGGGTGCATTACAATAATTGTCTGTAGCATGTATAGAATTTACAAACATCAAATTAAACATTCATAAATAATCAGAGACTTGGAGCTAGTAAGGAATTTCTAACACATAATAAGTATATTATTTATGGTTCAACATTTTATGATTAGACCTTTTAAAGTGTTGTCTGCATTTATCATAATTTTACCAGGGAATCTAATAATAAATATTTGAATTCATGACGTATTCTAACTTTTAGGACCAAGGCTAAGGTTCTCTCCTTGCATCAACTTTTGGTGAAAGTTATCAATATCATGGGAATTAGATAAGGAATCCATCATTTCAAGCCAAAAAAAAAAAAGGAAAAGAAAAGAAAAGAAAAGGGAAAAGATAAGTGACTCATGCCTTGTTTATATATATATATATATTTGAGCAAAAGCCTTGTTTATATATTAAGGAGTGACAGACATGGAGCAAATATGAACAGTCAAGCCCTATTTAATTTTCACTGCATTATTGATTAGACTCTGGTATTAAAAGGTTTAGTAAATCCAAAAGATCGATGCTTTCATTTGTGTTTTTTTTTTTTTTTGCCTCAGATGCTTTAATTTGTTAATGATTATCATGGTTAGAATATATAAAATACAAAGAGCTTCAATTAATAACTCCAGTAATAAAGTTACACTAACATGTGGTGTATGTGCCGTGAGGAACATCCAATCTTTGATGTATTCATTCCATGAACCCAAAAGGGCCTGCGAAAGTGAAATTTGCAGCCATGCGCCACGCCACTGGAATCATTCCATGATTTCACCTGGAACTTTCATCAAGCATCCAACCTGCATCCATTTTCAAGAACCTCATTGGAAGCAATGTTCTGAATTAGATAATGTTGATTTTTTTAAAATACAAAGATAATGTTGATTAATACATATATTTCGATGTCAAATTCATAAAGCAAAATCATCCAACTACTCTGCAGATGAAAAGGTAGGCAATTAAATAGTGTAGAGAGAGGACTGGGCCAGGATGCACTAGGGAGTGCCATCATACATTAATGGAGGATGATGCAGCAAAATCAGAGCGGGTCAATTTGAGAAATCAGAATGCCCCCTTTGCTGCATTCAATTCGCCTCATATCAAGTGGATTCATCTGATAAGACTGTATATCGTTTTCATTTGTTGTCAAAACCATTCCCAATTCAATTAGGGAAGAATGTTGCAACCAGACTCCGTACAAACAAAACCACAGCAGTAAAATATATGCATATATAGTCAAGAAGGGAATACAGGCCCTCGCATTGTAATGCGGATAAGTAACAGATGCCTCATGAATAAAAGTAAAGAACAACTCAATTTTACTTTCAACACAAACAATGCCTTTTTTGGCATACCACTTGATTTGAGTTTTGCCAGGTGGTCCCTCCTGTATTATATATGGATGGAGTGTAGACCAAGTGACTAAAATTATTTTATGTTAAGAATCTTGATGTTACAAAACATCAAAATATATATAAATTGATTTAAAAAATATTTCATTAAATATATATTAGTACAATTTATTTCTCTTGTTCCCAAGAATTTATAGCTTAATTGGTACCTCTATATATCCCATATTGTCAAGTAGGAGATTGATGTATGGTACTACCTCTGATCCTTAATATAAGACCCTGTTTGACTTTTGTTTTAGTTCTAAATATAAGACCCCAATCCACTTTGTCTCTCATATTTATGTATTTTTTTTTCTAAGATAGTTCTTCTAACGATAATAATTTTAGCCAATACACTTGATTAGTAAAGAGATTTTAGAAAAAACAACACATATTTATTACAAATAATTAACTTAATTTGTTTTATTAATTTCTTCAAATTAGTCAACTAGCTCTTATAATTAGGATCGAAGATAGTACTCCTCCGGTCCTAAATGTAAGACCCTTATACTAGAGTGTATAAGGGTCTTACATTTAGGACTGGAGGAGTATTTTATTAATCCTAGTGGAAGGGATTTTGAACCAAACGTAGTAATAATTTAGATTGTTTTCAAAAATTATATTTTTTTGAAGAATTTTTAATACGAATCTTTTCGTTTTAAAATTTAGAGTTGTGAGATGTAATTTTACCAGGAATGAGCTCCATAGAATTCAGGGCTCATGATCCCAAAGGCATAAAGTGGAAATGGTGAAGAGGGCAAAAGCACAGACCATCACATGCAAAAAGGGTTAATTCAATCAATGACACCCATTCGTTTCTTTATAGGTTCATCACTTTTTGGGATGCGAGCGTACATTTGTTTTCCTATTTTAATTATAATATCGAACACTCCTTTATCTTCACTATGATATTTGCTTGTTAGATAACGCAATAGCCAAAGAAAAATATCACACACTCTTAATCCACGACCACCCGATAGAGACTTTGTTCGCTCCTGGGAATCAATCATATTATGTAAGACCCTATCCTCACATGTTTTTTTGGTCATCGTTGTGGGTTTCAACTTTCGTGTCTCTCTGATCTCTGCTTTGATTTAGATCTTTGCCGACACAAACTGTTATATATTCGGCTTTTTTGAGTGATCCAAAGAAAGATCAAGCACTATGAATAAGGACTAAATGTCAACGTTCGTGTCTTCCTGATCAGCCTGGCTATTTCACATTTGCAACACAAATAATATGAATTGAAAGCCTAAAAGCACTCATCGTGTCACACCACACAACTTAACTTTTGTGAAGCTTTGGTCTGTGTGGTCACACTCTGATCTGCTCAATATCTTAGCCCCCAACTCAGCTTTGTTTCTTCATAACCCTACTCACTATCAAGCTTTTTCCCTTTTCTGGGTCCGAATAAATCTGGGGTCCCTTAAAATCTGTCAAACTGTGAAAGAAAAAACAAAGCCACCCACTATGCCTTACCTCTTACCAGCCACATTAACTCAGCTTCTGCTTCTGATAAGTTTTCGTTGAATTACGCTGGCTATATTGTGAATGTAGATCTTGGGAAGGGTAAAACAGCTAGTAAATCATGCTAGTACTAGATAGTGAGAGAGAAGTCGTGATCCTTCTTTGCTGTGAGAACTGAGAAATGGTCCTGAAGGCTGATATATAAAATAAAGGCCCTTCCAAATAGGACCACTTCAAATGATCCAACGGGAGGCAGGACCAACTGAATGGACTAATAGACTGAGTTATAGCTTTCCCCTTATCTAACACAACCAACAATGGCCTCAAACTGTTGAACTAAATTGTCTCATGCAGAGAGTTACTCTCTAACATTGGGAGTTATTAGTATGCTTACCAACAAAGAAGTTAAGGCCTTTTTTGTGGAATAGTACAGTTATATTGGATTCTGATATTTGGTTGCAATAAGGTCAACGTCTGGTAGGAAATGCCAAGTTGGCTGTGCTTTGATTGGAAAATAGAAATGGTCCCTGAATATTTACAAAGTTTCTGATATGACTCTCCGTTCTTGCCGGCTGCTTCTGGACAAATGCGCATGCTCGTTTCTCTGTAGTCTCCATCAACCTCTGCATGTGGTGAGAAACACTTCTCTTATCTTTGTCTATGGCAGCCATCTTGAGTTCATGTTTTTTGATAAAATAAAAATGTTTCTAGAAAGCTCGCAATCACATCAGGCTATCAATACGTAATCAGAAAACAGAAGGCCCGGCAAAAGAACAGGCTATGATCGGAAAGAACCTTCAAACCAAGGGGCTACCCAAAAACAAAAAATCGGAACTAAAGAAATAGGGTTTCGCATGCGTTCGTAGGCCCAGAAAGAAAAGCATACCCATTTGATGGTCCTTAGCTGCGAGGGCATGTGATATTGTCTTGAAGAAAGGTCACCACACGAAGTCTTTGCTAGGTTCAGGCACATAAGCAGCAAGACGATCAATTCGTAAATTGAGCGAGTCAATAGATGGGATGACAAGACTTTCATCCATAACACCATTAAACATTAACTTCTACAAATTCCCCTGGGGATGCAATTAGATAGGATGATAATGAATTTCTTCCGTTTCCAAATGCCTATCATTCAATCCAATTAACGAAACCCTCAGCTGTTCTTGGCTTTGGAAAATATCTGAGCAGCTTAATGTCACTTATTCTGCCCAAATCTACTGTGCATGGGTTGGCAGAAACATCAAGTCTAATATTAACTCAACCACGTTAATTCCCCTAATAGGTTTTGGACCCCCCCCTTTTTTTTCTCACTTGCAAAATTAGGTTATTTGTGTCTAGCTAATTTTGTTCCGAAATTCATGCTAAATATATGTATGACTTCTAGATTAAGCTTATTGACTAGTCTTTTAGTTTGTGCGTGTGGCTAAGCAGATAGAGGTTAGAAGCAGAGGGAGGAGATCAGATAACTTTTTTTTTTAGCCTTCTTGGTAAATGGTCTTTAGGGTTTGCGGACCCTTGACAAAAAAGCTGTCGAAATTATTTTCCGCAGGACTAGACTTCATGGGAGTAACATATGAAGGACCCAACAGATGAAGTCCAGAGAAATGGTCCCCCCATATATCATATGTATACTCATCAGCATGCCCTGTCTCTTGTGCCTGGACAGTTTTTTCGTTCTCAGGTTTGGATCCCGGAGCTCGCGCATATGGACGAACAGTTGACGTTGATGCCAAGGAGGACGAAGGTTCAGCAGGCAGGGGAAAAGTAGCAGAAGGAATCTCAACAGGTTTATTAGCAGCTATTATTGAAGTTGAATGCAGCAGCCCTTGAGGAGAAGACATGTTTCCCTGGCACTTCACCGGAACCTTAATAGCAGAAACAGGCGCTTGATCATTGTCAGAATGATTGTTAGCCTCTTGAGTAATCGAACAACGAGACTCGGGCTGCTCCGCCTCAGGAGACAATGACCAGTTGCATTTAGATGTTGCAGATATGACTGGAGATAGAGGAGAAGAGGGTGTAGAATTCCCACTGTGACTACTTGAAACTTCAGATAATGATGCTAGTTTTGCAGAAAGACTCTTCCTCTTCCTCCTCCTTCCCTTTTCTTTTCCAGTTTTGACCATGAGATTATTCCCGGGTTGCAATGCTTCCGCTGTGTCAGAGCTCTGAGTTATGGTAGATGGCAATTTTCTTTCATTTGGAGCATCCAACAATTGACTGGTCTGTTTACCGTTTTTCAGAGTTTGCGTCTGATATTGAGACATTCCAAGTGAGTTTGAGTCTTTTCCAACTGAGCATAACAGATTATTCATCTTATCACACATCGATAACCTACTCTTTCTCTGATTATGATGCAGAAGGGTTTTACCAGCATTTTTCACAGTGGTGGGGATATTGTTATTGTCATCACCCTTACACATGAAGTCCAAGGAGCCATGTGCAGTGGTTTGAGGAAATATGATGCAGAATACCACATAAAGTAAGGATGTAAGGAGAAAGAATCCCAGAAAGAGTTTTTTCACTCGCACCCAAAACATGGATTTCTTGCAGTTACTCAGCATATCATGAGGGAAACTTGCCTTCATGGGTAACAGAAAAATACCAGTAGCCAAGGCAAGTTCAAGATCACGATGCACCATGGCTGCAGAAAAATCACTTTGGTAAGATATCAGAAGCTCCGTTGACTCCCCAGGTTCCAAAACAAAACCTCTACAAGAATGAACCATAAAACCATCCAATCCACATTCCCTCCCAGAAACTCTGATACCTAACACCTCCAATGGTAAGTCTCCTGTGTTCTTGGCATAGAGCTCTTTCACTAATGAATGTGAACAGGCTGAAGCCATCTCTTTAACGTGAAGTAAGGCATATGGAAGAGAAAGATTGAGGTGCCCGGCCATTTCAATATCAAAATTTAAACTCTGAACAGGCTCAGACTTCTCAAGCATGACTAGGGAAACTGACCCTCCAAATCCCCTTAGAGATAACCACTCAACGCCTGAAAGGTTGTTCCTTATCAATGCTGAACCACTCCACCCACATCTATCTGATGGGTAAAAAATTATTGGCCCTAAAGATACACGACCATAAGGGTGTACAAAAGCCTTTGTTACTGCAGCCTCAGGTACTGAGAATCCATACTTTGTTGGAGTTGTGGACTCATCTAAAACCAAATTACCAGACGAAGATGGGCTTACTAATCCATCTGGACCCCTGCATTCATCAATTATTTCTCCAGCATTCAAGATAAGCTGCATTACAACTGGATGCTCACTAGGGTTTTTTACAGTGATCCACTGGGGGACAAAACTTCCAACTTGAATCACTGGGAATAACACATCAAGGTTTTCAAGCACAGACATGCCACTTGTTTTCCCTTGAGACATCCAGTTTCCAAGAACTAATTCATCAACATCTGCTGTCCCTATATCCTGCAGAAGCAAATGACAGAAAATTTTAGTTTCTATGATGAGAAAAATGAGTAAAACTAAATATATCTTTAGGCAAAATAATTAAACCTAAGTAGTACGTGGTAAGGATTTGACTTGGCGCATATTTTCCATGCACACCAGTATGGCAATGAGGCGGTTAAAATTGGCAAATAAAGTAAGGATTCTTTTTTCTTTTTTGGGCTGGGGGTGCTCAAGAGAACGCAAGAAGCATTATCAGTGCCTATCTGGAAGCAGATGCCCACAAGATCCTGGAGGACATTTCTGCCTATTATATAATTTATGGGCTTAAAGCATCCAAACTCAAGCCATCAGTATTAAGAGAGATGTCCACTTTTATTTGTATTGGAAACAATAATGTAGAGTAATAGTAAAGACTATTCATTTTATCACTGGTTTGCCTTTATAAAATTTGTCAATCATTATACAAAAAATTGCACAGGATCTTGGTCCTTGAGCACTACTGTGGCGTCTTATCCCAAAAAAATCATCCACGATCTTAAATCTCCAGGCTTGGCACCTTAGATCTCGAATAAAATAAGACTTGGATTCTTAAAATGACCCTGGACAGATCCATTGTTAGCCTGAAGTGAACAAAATCATCCATTCATTTGCACGCTCCTAACACCAAATCCATGCGAGACAAATAACTCGCGAAAGGAAATGCTCAAGGAGCATCAATTAACAGTAACTGTCTACCTTAATATTTTATGAAAGAATGTCCATCGGAACAACTATAAATTTCATGCAGCGCATGGAAGCAAACATGCTACCATATTTAGATAATACGTATGTACTTGTGTGCATACATACATGCATACAAACATCTACATATATATTTCTCCATTCAAGAGACTCACTACTCTAAATATATATCTCAGTGTTGAATCAGCAATTGTGTCCAAATAGGAAGGAGAAAGAATCTGCATACCTTAACATGTGGTGGCACTTCCATGCTTCTGGCCACATAACCTGCCCCTAGATCTCCCAATTCGATGTACTTAGTCTCATGCTCTAATCCAATAGATGAAAGCCAGCGATCACCAAAACATATATGTAGTATGTTCTCACACTGAATTTCAATTTGGGTACTAGTTGAGTCATTTGTAAGAATGAGAAGCTTGCAGTTATCTCGCAAGTTAGACTCTCCAGGTGACAAGTCAAGTAATTTGGTGCGCAGCTGACTACAATAAATAATTGCAACTTGTGTAACTGTGCTGGGGAAAAGTAGCAAGCCTTCCACATATTTGATGTGAAAAATCTGAGAGTCAGCAACTTCTACAATTTTAACAAAGCTTGAAAGATAAGGGGCATCATTTCTTATGGAGATAATGATAACAGTTTCACCACCATCACATGGAGTTAGAGCCTCGAGACTTGCTGAAATATGTATACCAACAGTGTCACGGGCAGAATTGCTAACTACTGCAGCCTCAATAGGAACCATGATAGTATCAGACTGTTCTTGTGAAGATCTGAGTAAATGCAGGCAAAATGCACCAAATACTTTTCCCTCCGTTCCCACAGAAATATCTATCTCTAGGAGAGTTTCAGAGCTATGTGGACTAACCTCCCAGTTTCGATGGGGCCTAATTGCTACGACAGGTGAATCAATTTGGCCACTCTTCACAACCAATCGATCCTTAATAATCGGGAAGAGTAGGTTATCAAAAGCATGAATATTATTTATACTACAAATTGCTTCGGTTTCAACAGAATTATGCCCCAATGAAACTGAAATCCAAGCAGTTATTTCATCAACATATATGGTTTCATCAAAGGAGTTGAACAACGAAAAATTCTTGCTCAACATTCCACCGGGGGAAATTTCCAGACCTAGCAGGGGCTGAATACCATAGGGAGATTCAGTCGCATACCCTTTAGCCTCCACAAAGAATCCGCCATAACTTGTTTGCAAAATCAAGTGAGCTGAAGACAGGCCCAGGCATCTAGGGAAGAAAACAAAAGAAATAACAACTGATTCACCCGGAACTAGTGAAATTTCACTGAAGTTACAAGGATAAAACTGTGTGTCAGTACTGAAGGGCTCATAAAGGTGTAATACACTGTCAGTGCATGTATTTTCCACAGTTATGAAAGCCACTGAAGCAGAATACATGTACTTTTGTCCCCAGTCCAGCACAGTAGGGCCAATTCTTACATTGGGTGAGAAGAAACTGGATTCAACCATCTTGGAGTTCTTTGGCGAGGAAGGTATTGCCTTCTGCCAAAATAAAGCTCCTCCACAGGAAGAAAGATCATCTTTATGACCACCCTCAGTTTCAAATAATGGAGCATCATTAATTCCTTCTCTTGAGTTCAAAGAGCAAGAAACGACTCCCCCGTTAAGTAGCTCAAACATACCATAGTCAGATGACCAACTTCTGTTACTTGCCTGGTGGCTATCTTGAGTTAGTTCTACGCCAAATGGACCATTGTACTTACTACTAGAATCTTCTAAAGAAGCTTCTTTCAGACTTCTCTGTTGGTCTGAATATCCAGATATTGTCGAAGGAAAGCAGAATGTATGAGTATTTCGGCACATGCTTTCAATACTATTGTGGGCAGTTGGAACCCCATAGCCCACATTAGTGTCACTATCGAAGCTATCTGAAAAATCCAACTTGTAACCTTCCCCAAATGACACACAAGCATCACATTCTGGCTGATTTTGTATCCAATTCGCACAGTATGGTCCATAATCAGCAAAGCAATAGAAGGAACATAACAGAACCACAAAACAGTAGAATGTTTTGGCTGGGTGTGATAATCCCCTGTTTGAAACACAAATAGATGTAAGATTTTTTTAAAACTCTACAGATGCAACATTACAGAACAATTGCAGCATAGTATCCAAAATCCAAGTCCAAATGAGAAAATAAAAAAGGGGAAAAAAATGAGAGTAAAATTACAATAGATAAAGCAACCAAATTTTTAGCGGTAATTATTTCCCCTTGCATCCATTTCGGTTAAACACCGGGTGGAATATTGCGTTTAAGAGACAAACATTACAAAGGAAATGAAATTAAAAGTTATCAACACATGGTATAGAACACATAGTATAGATAGATGTAACAAATGTAAACAATAGAAAGCTTGAAGGAGGAGTAGGCCCCATGAACATTATGCCACCAAAAGTTAGCCAGATGCAGTTAGAGCATTCATTGAAAAAAAAATTAATAACTAAATAACTGAATTATACACTTACTTCATGTGTTTAACGTTAGATATCAAACAACATATAAAAAAGCCGAAAAGAGGAAAAATATCTAGAAGCAATGAACTAGGAATCAAGCTTGCATGCCCGAATTAGAAGCCACAGTAATACTTATATGCACCGTTAAGCACAAATTTAAAAAAAATTAAGGGATTGACACACCACATGACAAAACCAACCCTCAATAAGACCGCAATAACTCAGTCAACGAAAAAGAACTCGCGAAATTGCAATCGCTTCCTTAAACAGAGCGCTCTACTCCAAACGCCCCCGAATGATTAACCCAAATAAAAATAACCCACTCCACACGTTCAATCCGGGGGAAAATCATATACCTTCTTTCATCGGTCTCAATAAAAATAGTAAAGATTTAACTAAAATGAAGAAGAAGAGGAGGAGGAGGAGGAGGAGGAGGCTATAACTAGTAACAAAAAAGTCATAGGAACCTGATTACAAAAACAAGTCCTCAACTTCCAATAAATGGCAAAAAGATTGAAAATTTACACAATATAGGAAACCATGGACAAGGAACATGTGAAGACAAAGCAAAGATACTGAAAGCATATTTTTTTAAAGCCATAAAAAGCAAAGCTGACGATGAAGGTAACTAGGAATGAGGAGAGTGGTGGGAATACCGGTGGAAGAGCATACAGAGTAGCTTGAAGGCCCTGATGATTAGGGTTATGAGCTCCATGATAGAGAGAGAGCAACCCATAAGACGAAAGACCAATATTTTTGGGTTGCTCTGACTGCGCTTAGAACCCAAGCACACCCATAGCTGCGAATGAATGGTCCCAGAGAAACAGCGAAACTCAACGACAGGAAAGAACAGAGTAAAAAGAGCCAGAATTTACAGTCCCAGGGCGGAAACGACGTCGCAAGCTTAGTTTCCGCTGGTAAAGGAAATGGGTTGAGCCATTGTAAGGGTCCAGGTTTAGGGTTATGGCTGAGGTCAGGAAAGGATGGGACCTGACTACCTGGTGGCTAGTACTATTACTATCCTTCTCATTCTTCTCTGATTTTTGTTTTGGGATAAGGGTGGTAAGGTCATTTGACCGAAAGGTGGACGAGAGAAACTAGGAAGAGCGGCTCCTCGACTTTTCCAAGATGATGCTCTAAATTAAAATACTTAAACTACATGTTACTTTGCTATATGCTCTTTCTTTTTTTTGGGTCTGATGTTACTTTGCTATATCAATGACACAAAATCAAATGTGTTTCGCGTGGCTGCGGAGCTTTGTGTCTTTTTCAACTGTTTGATAATATAGATGTCTTTTAAATGATTTGAAAGTTTATAATCTTCATTATTATTTAAGATTTCGAAAAATCACTTTTTTATCTTCAGTGGGTTCTTTCATGCGGTCAAATATAACTCGTCATTTTTATTAATATATTATATCTTATCATAATTATAAGATTTATTTGTAATTTATAAATAAGATTTTATAAATATGACCGGAGATAGTATTATATATGCTTTACTATTTTTTTTAAAGTTATGATTATAATTTAATCATTTTTTAAAAAAAAAAACTTACTTCAAGTTGCTTATATCTATTCTATCAAATTCTTTAATCACACATGATTATATGCACCTTTTTTTTGGTTTCATATACATTTATAATTAAATGTTATTAAATGCTTATATTTTAAAAATATGACACATGGTCATGTGTAATTAAAAAAACTTGACACAATAAATATTAGAAACTTAATGTAAGTATTGTTTTAGTGTATATTTATTGGGGGAGCATTTAATGCAATCGATGCCCGCGGTTATGATTTTCCTCACTACTCACTTATAATTAGCTCAGATACAGCTATTCAAGTTTTTTTTTCAAAAAAATTACAATTGAAGCCGCGTGGCAAACGTAGAAGGTGCCAGTTATCCACATGTCACAATCACATATTTGCATTTGCATGCCTTATAATAAAAAGTTTGTAAGTTCGAATCTCACAATAGATGCAAAAAGTATGTACATTTTGTGTATTATGGTTATTATTTTTAACACTTGACACCCTAGTTGTATCAAGATGTCAAATTTTAAAAGCTCATGATATTTGCACACTTTTATGTTAAGCACAATTGGACTTATTTGCATAATTAAATACTTAATATAAAAATGTGCATAAGCTGGGCTTATTTTGGCTTGGTTTTGGACGAATTGTGGATTTATCATAGTTCCTTCGTTTGATCTTTTAAGAGGAATCAATCCAAAAGGCCAACGTCCCTTTCAAATGGGAAAGAAAACACAATGTTAACACGACAATACAACATGAAAATGCACTTATACTTCAACAAGAGATAAAGTTGGCCAAGATCACGCAACTAGGAAAAGCTAGCTAGTGCAAATTTTGTAAATCCAAGACACGTAGTTACATCACATGGTGTCAATTTTTATAGAAAGATCTTGAATTATATGTATGCTTGTCTTAGTCGCTATATATGCCACCATTATTGGGGATACATCCTAGCTAGGAGTTACTTTGAAGATGATTTTAGGCAAAGAGATGCTATACATTGAAAGCTAACGATTGCTTTTTCCCTTCATTTTTTTATGGAATGTTTTATTAGTTTTACTTTGCAAATGCTTGTCATATGGACCCGTTAGGTGATTTTCCCTAAGAAGAACCGATGAAATATAATACTACTTCTGGTTCTAATTATAAGACCTCGTTTATAGATTATAAATAAAATCTTATAATTAAAATCGGAGATAATAGGTTTTAAGCCTTGGAGCCTGTAAATCAAGAAAAATGATCAACTTCTAACCCACAAAAAAAAACGCCATTTAAGAAATCTTACTGTAAGATGCCACATCAATGTGTATCATTCCTAGTTAAGTTGAATCTTGTACTCTAGGAAGAACACAAGCAATATAGTGAAAAACGTACTCATGAATAATTAGAATAGCATAGCGAATAGCATCTAATTGAATTAGCAAATGATCGTGCAATTATTTGAATAAGTGATCCCTATTTTCACAAATGCTGTTCGGTTCAATCACAAGTTTAATCACAAATGATTGGAACAATTAACTGAGTGGCCACTATTTTCACAAGTACCCACTGATTCAATTACAAGTTAAATGACAAGGACAGTATAATAAATAATACTCCTCCAATTTTTAATATAAGACCTAATTGTTGAGTTGATTTAGGTCATAAATATAAGATCTATTTTTCATATTTATCAGTTTTTCCTAAATTACCTTTATTGATCTCCCTCAACCATAATTAAATAAAAAAAAGAGAAAGAATATTAAGAAAGATGATTATGATGTTTAGAAAAAAAACATATCATATTTTTATAATTAACCAACTTACCTAACTTCTTTAATCTAATTAAATTAGTTAAATAGGTCTTATATTAAGGGCGGAAGAGTAATAATTGACTAGCAAATGACTAATCCATCTAAATGAGTGACTATTATTTCTTACTTAAAATTTGTCAATATATAAGCACAGAAGCTGGGGCTTTTTTAATCCAAGAGTCAAATCCTTTAATCACCTTGAAAGAAAAATTCTAAACCATTTTTCATCAAAGGCAATTTTGACTGTGCTCAATATCCGTTGTTATTTTATGAACAGATATTCAAAAATTATAAAAAGTCAAGGGAGTCAATTCCTGTGTCATACCCGATTAAAATATATATATCATCACATTGAATAAGAGAAATAAGATACTTAAAAAAATGCACATTCTAAACCATTTTTCAAATAAGGTGGCCAAATTACCTATTACGTACATTTTCATATAATTTATTTTGAAAAAAAATCCGAAATGAAATTGTTAAAAAACTGTCTTGACCGAACTACCTACCAACCATGCCCCAAATTATTTTAGCCAGCCCATGTGTTTGCGTTTTCTTCTTATTCTCATCTGCATACCTGCATTTTGGTTTTTCAATTTGAAAGGAAGGAAAAATGAGCGATCTTATGTCCAAAGTAGTCAAATGATTAGGAACATAGTATATACCTTCACACACGATACCTCTGATGATAGATATAAAAGTTAGTTAAAGATTTAATTTAATCTAAATATACGATCAAATCTATTTGTCTTTTATATTAATTTTTTTAAAAAATAATTCTCATAATGATTACACATATTAAAATATGGGGCTAAAGTATACTTTTGGTTTTTTAACTTCGCATAAGTTTTCATTTTGGTCCCTTAACTTTATAAAATAAATTTTTAGTCCTCTAACCCTAAAACCATTAATAAAAAATAATGATATTAAGCTCTTAAATATTAATAAAATATTACTAAATGCTATAATATTAAGTTTAATTTTTAAAATAACTATGATTGTTACAAAAAATCCTCATTTAAAACTAATAATTTTGAGATTAAATGACTAAAAGTATACTTTTTAAAGTTAATGGATCAAATTAAAACCTTATATAGAGTTAAAAGACAAAATATATACTTTAGCCTGAAATATTGTCATTATTAATACATATGATAAACCAGAATATTTTAAAAAAGATAAGACTCATTTATTATAAATATTTAAGTTAATTAATTTTTTTAATTTTATAAATTAGTTATTTAATTTTTTGTATTAAGAGCGTGTGTGCGCGTATATTATACTCCATTTGACTTGGTTTGCTCCAAGCTTCCAACAATGCGTCCTAGCCCTGTTTTATGAGGACGGACCCGTAGCCAGACACGACATATTGTATGACATAAGACCATAATGGGTTGTGTAATTAAAAGTTGAACTTACTGTGTTCAACTATATGTTTTCAAACTAAAATTAAGTTCAGACTTCTCATCTTAAGTATATCAGTTCAAAAAGATATTGTCAGATTTAAATATAATAATTTAATTTAATTTATTTTTTAAATTCATAATTTTTTTCAAAATATTTCTATTAATTATAAATATAAGAGGTCTTCAATTTAACTAATTTTTTTATGCTAAAGTATTTTTTAGCCCTTTAATTTTACACAAGATTTTATTTTGGTCCATTAACTTTAAAAAGTAAACTTTTAGTCCTCTAATCATAAAATTATTAACAAAAATAATGATATTGAGCTCTTAAATGCTAATAAAACATTAATAATGCTAACATATCAAATTTAATATTTAAAAAATTATTATTGTTATAAAAAATCATTATTTAAAACTAATAATTTTGGGATTAAAAGATATACTTTTAAAAGTTAAGGGACTAAATTGAAACCTTAGGTGAAGTTAAAAAACCAAATATATGTTTTAGCCAAATTTTTAATATCTTAAATTAATTATCTAATTCTCATATAATTATAAAGATTGAAAGGTTTATTCTAAAAAAAAAAAGAAAAGGAGAAGAAACACAATCTTTTTGGCATAAAAGGCAAGATTATGCATCTTTTAAGTCGTAAGCCAAATAAATAACGTTGCGAGTCACCGTACCACTGGATATACCGAATCTAAGCTTGGTTTTAATTATCCAAAAAAAAAAAAAACTTACCAAGCAAACGAGGAGATGGAAAAATGGCAGAATGTTACAATTGGGAACACTCGTTATTCTTGCGTATTGAACAATAACAGAAGTGAGTTTTAATTTGAATCAAATTACTACCTCTCTGGTCCTTATTATAAGATCCCGTTTAACTTTTTGTTTGGTCCTAATTATAAGACCCCAATTTATTTTGTCTCTCATATTTATGCATTTTTTTTCAAAATAATCCTTCTAATAATGATAGTTCTAGCCAATACACTTAATTAACAAGGATATTTTAGGAATGACAACACTTATTTATTACAAATAACTAACTTAACTTACTTTCTTAATCTCCTCAAATAAATCAACTGGGTCTTATAATTAAGACCGGAGGTAGTAATCATTTTCCAGAGAGGTCGAAGCAGACGGGTCCAACAATAATGT